ATTAGCCACCTTTAGCTTAGCGTGGTGACGTGAAGTCATGTGACCGTGCTGTAGTTCCTTTATATCCCAACATTAGTCACATTTAGCTTAGCGGTGGTGACGTGAAGTAATGTGATCATGCTGTAGTTCCTTTATAGCCCAACATTAGCCACCTTTAGCTTAGCGGTGGTGACGTGAAGTCATGTGACCGTGCTGTAATTCCTTTATAGCCCAACATTAGCCACCTTTAGCTTAGCGGTGGTGACGTGGAGTCATGTGACCGTGCTGTAGTTCCTTTATAGCCCAACATTAGCCACCTTTAGCTTAGCGCAGGTGACGTGAAGTCATGTGACCGTGCTGTAGTTCCTTTATAGCCCAACATTAGCCACCTTTAGCTTAGCGCTGGTGACGTGAAGTCATGTGACCGTGCTGTAGTTTCTTTATAGCCCAACATTAGCCACCTTTAGCTTAGCGGTGGTGACGTGAAGTAATGTGATCATGCTGTAGTTCCTTTATAGCCCAACATTAGCCACCTTTAGCTTAGCGGTGGTGACGTGAAGTCATGTGACCGTGCTGTAGTTCCTTTATAGCCCAACATTAGCCACCTTTAGCTTAGCGCTGGTGACGTGAAGTCATGTGACCGTGCTGTAGTTCCTTTATAGCCCAACATTAGCCACCTTTAGCTTAGCCGTGGTGACGTGAAGTCATGTGACCGTCCTGTAGTTCCTTTATAGCCCAACATTAGCCGCCTTTAGCGCTGGTGACGTGAAGTCATGTGGCCGTGCTGTAGTTCCTTTATAGCTCAACATTAGCCACCTTTAGCTTAGCGGTGGTGACGTGAAGTCATGTGACCGTGCTGTAGTTCCTTTATAGCCCAACATTAGCCGCCTTTAGCGCTGGTGACGTGAAGTCATGTGACCGTGCTGTAGTTCCTTTATAGCCCAACATTAGCCGCCTTTAGCTTAGCGGTGGTGACGTGAAGTCATGTGATGTCGCTGTAGTTCCTTATAGCCTAACGTTAGCCTTTTACTTCAAAATCATAAAGTCAAGCCTGCTTTTTGGTACCCTAAATCTCCTACAGGAAGGTAAGAGCTGGAGCTCTGGGTGGAGGATGTAATTTGTTTGTGACTGTCTAATGATTGACAAAATACATTCAGTTGAATTCAATCTCATTTATAAATATGCATAGTGAGGAATCAGCTCCGTCTGTACTGCCTTAACCTGTTGCTGTCTTCTTGCTATGTAATAAGCATGTTTAAAAAAAAAAAAAAAGATTAGCATTACCAGTATTGTAAACCTCTATGTTGCGTGTATTTCCTTGGTATCTTAAATTAAATGTGTTTTTAGGTTGACTTACAACATCTGTCCAGGGACTACAGATGAAAAACAGCGTATTTGTTAACTGGCACATTTAAAGTGTTATGTTTATTAATGTACACAGTCCCCGTTTGATATATATCAAAACGAATATCTCATTTTAGACGGATACTCGTAGAGATGGAGTTGTTGGAGCTGCTGCTGTTTGCTGCTTCCTGCCTGTAATTAGTGCTGTCACATCAGTGTCCTTCACACCCAGTGGGCAGCCGATCGATGGGCTCACACACACACACACACACACACACACACACACACACACACACACACACACACACACACACACACACACACACACACACACACACACACACACACACACACACACACACACACACACACACACACACACACATGTACAAATAAAGTGTATCTCCAGTGAGACTTTAATCCCTAAATGGGCATTCACATAAAAAGTGTTTGGGAAAAGGAATTGATTGCTATTTTCTACATAACACTATTACTGTACACTGTTATAACACCCCTATTACACCATTATTACACCCTTTTTATACCCATATGATGCTGTTGTTAAACCCAGATTTCGCCCATGTAACACCAATATTACTTCCATATTATGCTGTAATTATACTGTAATTACACCCACATCACACATAAATACACAGCTATTAAGATCATATTACACCATTATTAGACCCGTATAACATCCATATTATACTCATGTTACACAGTTATAAGACCTATATTAAACTATTATTACACTGTTATTACACCCATGGAAACATCTTCCGTTAAAGTAAATAAATAAACCTGATTGTATAGTGTTTAAGGAAATCCTCAAACAAGGTCACACACAAATGGTTGCACACACACACACACACACACACACACACACACACACACACACACACACACACACACACACACACACACACACACACACACACACACACACACACACACACACAGAGAAGGCCCAGACAGGGTGGTGGGTGGTCATTGAAAATGTGTTCTGATATAAGTTCTTCACAGAAAATGAGCCAAGGCCATTGAGTTTGGAGTATGAAAAAATAATTCATCATATAATTTTTCATTAGCTAACTAATGAACGTGCATACGTGCAGGGTGCACATGTGTGTGTGTGTGTGTGTGTGTGTGTGTGTGTGTGTGTGTGTGTGTGTGTGTGTGTGTGTGTGTGTGTGTGTGTGTGTGTGTGTGTGTGTGTGTGTTTGTGTGTGTCTGTCAAACTAACTGCCTGGTTTTGCATAAATAAAAACATATGTTTTTTGCAGGATGAAAACAGAATGCCTCTGCAACGCTTTAATCTGCAACCATTTGCATACCACCATTACTGAAATGCTAGATATTCACAGAACATTGGACTCATATTGACAGTTAGTGCTAGATGTACTTTCTACTATATCAGTTTATGTACAAATGTTCGAATGTTCGGATATCAATGAAGTTATTAGGTATCGAAATCAGTTTTGTAAACAGGGTTTAAAGCAAGTAACTCCCTTTGCAATTTTAAGTTCTCTAAAGATAACATTGGTTTTTAATTGCACGTTTTTTTATTGCTGTGTTAAGCTTAATCGATTTTCCTCCTTTTTAATGTGCCTGCCGTTGAGTTGTATGTGTGATAAGGACTTTTCAAACATTGTTTTTTAAAAGACAAACAAAGGTTATCATTAAGAGACTGCTGTTAATTGGCAACACCCTGAATGTCTCCAAAGCGCCAACACGTCTATTAGTGATAATGTTACTTTGCACTGGCCTGGAGCTCTGGGAGGCAAACCAGAGGAACTACATGCCATCTCTGATTCAACAGACCGAGAAATAAATGCAGTTACAGAAAAATAGGATGAAACAACAAGAGCAATGGAAGAAAACGTACCTTTTTAGGGTTAGTTGTCAGCTGGATTGAGTGAAAGCAGAAGAGGCAGCTCGCAGGGTCGCATAAGAGAAAACATGCCAGTGGAGCGCCAACAAACTATCGAATGGTTCAAACTCTGCAAAGAGGAAAAGCTCCTTTCTGTTTGTCCGTCCGATTGGTTCAATACTGGGCAAACTAGGACTCAGCAGAGAGCTCCAGGCAGGAAGTTGTGTCAGAAAACGGACACCAACCAGCGATAGAAAATCTCTCAAAATACGGCACCAGCTGGTCAATATATAGGCAGGCGTTGTGGAAAAAGTGATATCGTATCGGAGGTTACAGGATGCTGGTGAAATCACTGTGGGTTAAAAATGGATTTGGAGGCGGAAAGATGTCGGTTATCAACACTTCTAGTTTTCACTTCAGGCTTTATTAAGAGTTGTTAAGCTCTATTGTTTGATAATAATCGTGCAAAAAGTACACGATGACATGCCTGGATAAGAACTGTAGGAATTGTTCAGTATTTATTTCATGATTAAAGTCACTTTAGAGATGCTTAAAGAGTCCTCTCCTGCTGATGCTGATGTAGTGTCTCTACTTTAAAGAGTCCTCTCCTGCTGATGTTCAGGTGTATATCAGTATGTAGTGTCTCTACTTTAAAGAGTCCTCTCCTGCTGATGTTCAGGTGTATATCAGTATGTAGTGTCTCTACTTTAAAGAGTCCTCTCCTGCTGATGTTCAGGTGTATATCAGTATGTAGTGTCTCTACTTTAAAGAGTCCTCTCCTGCTGATGTTCAGGTGTATATCAGCATGTAGTGTCTCTACTTTAAAGAGTCCTCTCCTGCTGATGTTCAGGTGTATATCAGTATGTAGTGTCTCTACTTTAAAGAGTCCTCTCCTGCTGATGTTCAGGTGTATATCAGTATGTAGTGTCTCTACTTTAAAGAGTCCTCTCCTGCTGATGTTCAGGTGTATATCAGTATGTAGTGTCTCTACTTTAAAGAGTCCTCTCCTGCTGTTTTTCAGGTGTATATTATATGGAAGCCTCTGCAGACCATTTACATGCACCAAAACCTATAGAACAAACTACAGGAGAAGGAACAACACAAAAAGCAGAATTGGGCCTCTTTAAGTAACATTTTCAATGCAGGACTTTTACTTAGAGTACTACAGTAGTACAGGTATAAGTACTTTTCTCTTCAGTAAACAATATAAGTACTTCCTCCACCTCTGCTTGTTTGTGTATCTGTACCTCTGTGTGTGTGAGGCGCAGATATGCCGGTGGGATTACAAAAAGACAATTGGAAGAAATTGGAGTTACTAAAGTGTGAATAAATCACCTGCAGGCGTGTGTGAGGCGTCCTGTGTTCAGAGCAAGCTTCAGAAGTTAGTGCAGCACAGCGAGGTTTCAACGTTTACATAACACCACCATGTGCACAACAATAAACTTCCTCTCCTCCTCTTTGATCGTAGGGGGGATGAAATTGCTTCACTATCGGGTGATAAAGTGACTAGGAACTGCTGGGAGTTGAACCCATGATCTCCTGTTTACGAGACAAGCACTTTATAGACTAAATGCATTTCATATTAACTCCTAATGATTTCAGAATGAAGACACGATTTGATAATTAAGTAGAGGAATGTGACAATGCCTGCATCAGTTTTAGTGCCTTTACTGTCTACATCTGTTAGATTGCAGTTGCTCGATGCGTCACTTGAGTCTGGCACTTCAATTAACCCACTAACCCTTTCAGTGGCACTGGCTGGATCTGAATGCAGTTCTGCTCTGAGACAGCAAATAAGGCATAATATGGTGCTGAGGCTAAGTGGTTAAGGCGCCTGTCTCGTAAACAGGAGATCCTGGGTTCAAAACCCAGCAGTGCCTCATAGGGTGAAAAACCCACGACATTGACTCCCACCAACTACGCGTATAGTGTTTGAGTAGATGCTTCTTCTCATCAATTATCATTTATGTGTGAATTCAGCCTCTTCAAAAAGCTATGTGTTATAATGAGGAAGACAGTTTGGAAGTTACAAAGATGGCAGATTCTCTAATGGTCAATTCAGGCGATGTTATTTGCTTTTGTGAAGGTCACTGGCTAGATGAATGCAGCTCTGTCATCACATTTTACATTTTAAAGTTCCAGTGTGTAGGATTAAGTGGATGCACATTCTTCTAATTAATTCATAAATCTGTGTCTTCCTTCTGAAATCATTAAGAGTTCATATGAAATGCATGTAGTCTAAAATGAGAGATACTCCCTTCTCCCATTTGAACCCAGGACCTCCTGTTTACTAGACAGGCGCTTTGACCAGCTAAGCCACAGCACCTCTTGTTCTGCTTTACGACTCTTTTCTTTATTCCCCTACATTGTTTTCTGCGCTCTGGTTCCAACAGAAATAATTAATAGCAACTCAGTGTGTCTTCATTCTGAAATAATAAGGAGTTCATATGAAATGGATTATGTCCACAAAGAGAGATATTTCCTTTGCTTTTTTAAATTACAAGAAAATCTAATAAATTCTGGGTTCAAATCCCAGCAGTGCCTCAAACTAAAAACAGTAGTTTATAGGATAGAGCTCATTCTCGTTAAAGATCAGCTTCTCAAATGGTCTTCAGGCTCTCTCTTTAACTATTGAACTTTATTTACAGCACTGGCTATACATTAAGATCTGATTGTACATTGTAAAGGAGTATGATTAAGTGGATGCACTTTCTTCTAATCAAAGATGAATATCTGTGTCCTCATTCTGACAACATTCAGAGGTAATGTCAAATGCATTTAGTCTACAAAGAGAGATATTCCCTGTTTTACACAAGTATACTTGATTTGAACCCTTGATGCATCTTTTAAGACAAGAAAAAGACAGACAATTACCTCATTCACACCAACGCAACTCCGGTTCAAGCTCCATGCTAGAGATTTTTAGGTTCAGAACCAGTTCTTCGGTTTAGCTCTGGCTCTTTTCACACCGCCCAGAGTCCGACTGGTAATGCGTCGTTGCGTCATCGTTTGCGTCATGACGTAACCGTTTGCGTGCCTGCTTCATAAAGCCAAACCGCGTGGATGAAATCAGTTGCATTCATTTATTATGGCTCTATCTGCAGCTTTTCCGGAGTCATTTCTGTGGTTTAGACTATAGGCTATTCTTATAAAAAAGTGTACTCGTGTCAATAAAGGTTTTTTAAAAACACAACTGGCTTCCGAGGTCGGTCTTATTTCTTAAGGTGGACTGAACCATGAGTGTGGAGTAACGTTGTATCTTTCATTTAAATGAACTGTAACCTTCACCCAGGTAACAGCTGTTCTCAAATGAACACGTGAAGTAAAGTTTAATATTTATAGTTTTATAGATTTATAATGAGTTATAATGAGAGGTGATCAACGTGAATGCTCAGGTTCCACCTTAACACGCAGACACGTTGCTTCACCATGAGCAGAAACCTTTATATATACAGTCTATGGCAGAAACACTGAAACTCTGAAACTCTTGTTAAGTTTCTCCATCGTTGTACAAACTGGATAAAACGCGGGCTTTTTGTTGTTGTTCAGGAGTTGATCCTGCCTCTTCCCCCGCCTCGACGTTAGCGTGACGTATGTGGTGCTTTTGCTCTGGCCGGACAATTGTTTGGTGCTTGAAACGAACCGGATTCCGGAGCCAAGAGGCTGCTCCGCTGCGGTGTGAACAGGAAAACCCGGTGCTTTTCAAGCTCCAGCTCCGAACCGGCCCTGAAACACCGTTGGTGTGAAAGAGGTAAATGTGTGGCTAAGTGGTTAAGGCGACTGTCTCGTACCTCCTGTTTACTAGACAGGCGCTTTGACCAGCTTTCGCTTCCTCTTGTCGTCCCGGGCTGCGACCCGACATCATGTCCTTTGCAGCTCTTGAATAAAGACAACTTTGCACCTTCATTGCACCGCCTCTGACTCCCTATCTCTCGGCACTACAGCTACACCATTGTTTGGTTTCCATGGTAGCGTGTCTCTTAAGCAGCGCGCACAACTCAAAGTCTGAGAGGGTGAGGAAGATGAAATCTGAACAAGAATCGACAACTCGACCCTCTGCTCACTCCTTTCCTGTAAAATACAGGTCCAGCCCACACATATGCTCCATGGTGCTCCAGGCATTGCCCTTACAACTACAATAAGCATGCAAATGTTAATCTACAGCTCCGATGATCCACTAGCATCCGGAGTCTCCACCTGCAGACGCAGCCATCCTCAACAACTACAGTAGCGTCACCTTGGATACGAGTCCAAACAACTCACAGACACACAGGCCAGGGTGCTGACAGGGCGCCCTTTGAGCATCAGATCTGACAATGCTGATTGGCTGAAATTATGTTTCGGCGGCATAGTATACAGATAGCAACAGTCAGCAATGTGTTGGCTGCTGCTGCTCTGGCTTTGGGCTCCTTTCTACCGCCCGGACGAGAGAGGGTAATGATACACGCTGCGGCCAGGCAGGAAACATGTGACTTATCAGTAACTTTAGACATCGTAAAACAATTTTAACCCTTGTGTGGTGTTCGGGTCAAATTGACCCGATTTCCATTTTCAATGAATAAAAACAAATATAAGGATATTTTCGTTCAACCTGAAACTCAATGGCCGGGGCTTATTTATTGTGAAGGACATGTGGAATTGTTTTTATTTTTTTCCACTTATGAAAAAATGCCCACCCGCATTTATGTCCTTCATAAGAGGTTCGGGTCAATCTGACCCGGATACAACACCAGGACAGACAGAGACACACACACACACACACACACACACACACACACACACACACACACACACACACACACACACACACACACACACACACACACACACACACACACACACACACACACACAATCGTATGCATAGAGAAGCTGTTTGAACCTGTTTTCCCTTGATCTTTACCCTTTGTAGTGTGTACACAAAACTATCCAAGAACATTATAAACATTTTAGATCTTCCAGAAATGTATAAACATTTTACATTTTCTCGCACTGTCCCCCCTCGCACCTGCACGCCGGAGGAGGGACTAAACAGAGACATAACCTCACATTACAGTGTAGTGCAGAACTACAATTATCTACTAACAAAATGGCCAAAATATATTCTGCTCAGAGCCTTGGAGCTAATACTGGATGAGAGTGAGCGGAATGCATTAGAGGCACACGGTGAAGTGGAACAGGAAGACATTTCTGAAGATGAGGATAATGTGGAGGTAAACTCAGAATTTGACAGCAAATTGGAAGATGAACTTGACTCATAGCCAGCTGCTGGAAGACCCCCACAGCCAGCCGCTGTGAGGTCTGTGGACCCTCAAAGGACTCCAAGACACAGACTAAATGCAGCAACTGCAACAAGTACATCTGTGCTGTACACACGAAGAAGTTCTGTACATAATGTGTTTCCTAAACGGACTTGCCCATTGACTCACATGATGTTCTGCAGCGTCACTTCATCAATATGTTTTTCGGATATACTGTATTTTATGAATAGTGACTGTTAATTGTTTTTATTTGCTTTGTGTTTACATCTGTTCTATGTCATTTATATGGATGTTTCATTCTCTCTATATTTCACAGCCAAATACTTTCGGATGTGGTTCTTGTGTTCCAATTGCTGCTAAATTGCTTTATTTCCTTCAGGGCTTTGATTATTATATGACAGATTAAAAATAATAAACATTAATGAAAACATTTTTCATTTTTCATTTTTCATTTAGTCATTTGGACTACCTATGTTGCAAATGTATTATCTTTTCAATTTACACACGGCATCTATTGCACGTCTGTCCGTCCTGGGAGAGGGATCCCTCCTCTGTTGCTCTCCCTGAGGTTTCTCCCATGTTCCCTTTAAACTGTGGGTTTTCTCCGGAAGTTTTTCCTTGTACGATGTGAGGGTCTAAGGACAGAGGGTGTCGTATTGTCATACTGATATTTTGTACAAACTGTAAAGTCCACTGAGACAAATGTAACATTTGTGATATTGGGCTATATAAATAAACATTGATTGATTGATTGATTGATTGATTGATTTACATTAGTTCTAGAAAAGCATGAGCAAAATGTAAACTTAGTTTTTATTACAGTGTATTTTTTTTTAACATAAATTACATTTTTATCACAAAAAACGATGGACACTTCCATTGTTACATTTGATCTAGCAAAGAGTATTTTCAAAAACTAATCATATATTTCATTGATATTGTTGGGGAATGAGTTAAAGACAATATATATAAGGAATTGTGCATGTTGAATTTAGTTCTGTATTTTTTTTAAACCTTGAAATATGTCCCGGGTCAATTTGACATGAACATTACCAAAGGGTGCGAAATGTGAACATAACACATAACGAGATTTTATTGTAGATTATACATTTTACTGATACCAACTATATAATATTTACCATGTTCATTAAACATTTAAATTTAAATTTAAATAAAATTAAAATATATATTTTTTGTTTGAGAAGCACTGGAAGATAAGAGAGACAAGCCTGAAAGAAGAGAGTCAATCGAGGCTGGCTTTTGAACTAAGTGACTCTTTCAGTGCTACTAGCTGGACACGAATGTAGCTTCGTTTCAGGACAAGAGAAAGAGGGTAAATGTGGCGCTGTGGCTAAGTGGTTAAGGCGCCTGTCTCGTAAACAGGAGATCCTGGGTTCAAATCCCAGCAGTGCCTCACATGGGTGATCATTGGATGAAGTAGAACGAGATGCTTCTTCTATAGATTAAATCTGTGTGTACAATGGGGAATCATTTGCATCATCAAATCTGACATTAAAGAAACAATTTTAAATGATTGATATTGATATGAAATGCATTCAGTCTAAAAAGAGATTGTCTTTTTAGGCAATTTACTAGACAGGTACTTTCACCCATCATTTC